AATAATCCTTGTATGCTTCCGATAAAATAAGTGTAAAAATTGGCATGAATCAATGTAGCTAAGAAAAAACAACCTTCATTTTCCTGAGGATCTTTTGAATGGTCGTTGCAACCTTAGTTATCAGCAGCAATGCTATTTTACTCATATTTATATGGTAGCACTCCAATTATTCAAATCAATTGCAACCGTACCACATTTGAATTAAAAATAAAAATTGGATTTTTACTGAAATTGTGACATTTTTAAGAAAATAGGCTGAATTATTTCTATTGCGATAGCATAACGTGCCTCAAGATTTCATGATTGAAAGTTTCACACTTTTGCACGTCTTGAAAGACAATGATGATGTCTACAATCCTGCGGAAGATGCTAAAGGTTTTGCAGGGATCACAGAAAACGGTGAAGATTTTTCTGTGACCACGGGAGACAATGATTCAGCTCGATTGCCGATGATGTTCAGGATTCTGCTGTCATAATGGCTTCTGCCTTCTGTATAGATTCTTTATTATTGTAGTTTAAAATGTACTCTGTTGGCAGTCCAGATAATTGGAGTTGGGATGGTTGGAGTTCTTCTTTACTATAATAAACTTTTATGATATTAAGCCGTTAAACATTAACTACTTACCTCAGGAACCAATACCAAAGTTCCTCATGAGTAGTAGTGTAAATAGTTTTAAAATGACACTGTGTTCAATGTTTTCTGAAATGATTATGGCTCTATATGAAATTAGCTTTAGAATATATTGTGTTGATTGGTGAGTAGGCCTACATTGGTATTCATCTGTCATTAGTCTCGAACGGATTGATGCTAGTTCCGCAGACGTTGTCCACCCGGGAGAAGTTGTTCACACGGTAGAACATGGCAGAGCTTACAGCAGAACAGGCAGCCATGCTGGCTGAGTTTGAAAATGAGTTTGCCAATCGGTACACGGAAAGCGATCCTGACTATTGCAAGGTAAAATCAAACTCTTTAAATCTCTATTAAATAATCTCTTATGAATATGTTTAGAGAACAATTAAAGCTTTTACCATATCCCTCCATTGTGCGATTTCTAGTGATAGAACCTGCCCTTGACCAGATCACTAATATTAGAATTAGACACTTTAGTTTGTTTAAAAATACTAGTGTCCCTGTTACTCGAATTTGAGCAATTGCTAAGTATTACAGGCGTTATTTTAAAACCAATAACAGTCATAATTTCTGATGACTTTAAAAGATTTGACTCAAAGATTATGGAAATACTCAAGATGTACATAACAGATCGATATAATCAACATTTCTTGAAAATATCTTATCATTTTTATATAACTGATTTTTTTTTGTGATCATATAAGTCAAAAAAGTCACTTGGCCAAGCCAGTGGTCCAATTAATTATTTCAGTGGATGGTTTTAAACCAATAAATTCTGACTTGTCTGCGCAAGATGCTACTTCTGAGCTACATGTTTAGTAAATTCTTTAATGCAAAGTTTCATCTGGTAAGAACTATGTAGGCCTATACGCATTCACTACTTAGTGACTCGGGGCAATGAGGAGTTTGAAATCTCGTACGGAATATTATGTTAGATCATACTCTGAATGAAAATACAGTAGAACCTCTTTAATCCGAACGCATCATTGCTGTAACTCTATACACATTACAGTAGTTCTTTATGGTATACTGTATTTATTAATTATTTCAATTGTAATGTACAGTACTATTTATTCCCTATGTTTACCACTGTATTAAATAAACACTCTATTTTACTTTATAAAGCATTTTTCACTTTTCCCTAGCTATTGTTATGTAAAAACAACAATATGTTCTGTAATCCGAACTATTCAATAGTCCGAACTACCCCTGGTCCCAATTAGTTCGGATTAAAGAGGTTCTATTGTAGTATATTTCATGACTAAGACTGAAAGTGGCATTTTTTGGCGCACGCTCAAATTTTATATGTGAGGCAAAGAGGGTGAGAATAATGGAGCATGTTTCGGAAAATAGCTTATTCGTACAAGTAATGAATGATACTTTTCATCACGACGCAAAAATACACGCAAACACCCCTTAGTAGTATCAAAATAGTTTTAGACCACTCTTCACCGAAAACACACTTCACAACGTACACATATGGATTCATAATTATAGATTTTTTAGATAAATATATAAATAAATACTTCGTTACTTAATTTAATTGACTTAACATTTTGTAATTTATACCAGTTTCTTAACTTTCTGTATTCCTCTTCTTATCTTTCCCGTGATTTCTACTGTGGAAGGTGATTAGCTACCTCAGAAGCTGTATTCATAAAATCATCAGTAATGTTAGATATACTTTGAGCAATTTCAAACACGCACTACCCTAACAACACAGCAAAACAAACTAATGCCTGTTTCTGAATACTTTTAAATTGTGCAACAATGAAAACAGCTGATTTAAATCATTAAAATAAACCTAACAAAAAACACTAGCACGCATAGTGGATAAAAGAACTAATCTAGAGTGAGGAAAAATCAGCTGATCGTTTTTCCCTCGCTCCAAATTAGACCATGTAGGAAACATCTACTTTCTTTGACATCAGCTGTTATCGAAACGAAAATAGTTACTTTCGGTAAGGAGTGTGATGAAAAAATATTTACTAATGAACAAATTTCAGGTGCAGCAGCCTTCTACTCCCCCTGTGGCTCATCCGTGGTATGGAGCCCGTCGCAACTTTGACCGCAGAGACAGAGGTGGGGGCAGACATGGAGGCAGAGGCAGAGACTGGAATAGAGACAGAGACGGAGGTAGAGACAGAGACAGAGATGGAGGTAGAGACAGACACTGGGAAAGAGATAGATATGTATGGAGAGGGAATTACCATCATGACCGCCACTACAGTCATCACGGACATCAGCCTTATCACCAATATCGTTGAATAAATTTTTCTAAAACTTTAGATGGCCTATGCATTTGATCCTATTTACTTTTCTTCTGTTTTCTACACTTGGTATTTTTTAAGCTTATGAAAGGTAATTGTCCAATCATTGTAAGTCTGAAGTTTTCTCAACCTAGAGAAACCTTATTCAAATTTATTGACACAAATCATAAAATAGTTTTGTAATATTATGCTTTGAGATCCATAGTACTAGTGGCTAATCTTGGCTCTAGAGAAGGGATCATCGCAATTTGTTCATAAAATATTTTTTATAACTCTGATTGTTATAGCTCCCAACAGTCTGCAGGTCACAAAAAAGCGTCCTGAGGGTAGTAAGGATGCCTGCTCTAGAAAAAAAACTCCAAAAATTCTTTAATCAACCCCTACTGTACATTTGATTTATCACTCATTTATAATAGCAACATTGTTTTGACAGTTTCTTTAAATTGACAATTTTCGTTTAAATTAATATTTACAAAAAATAACTATATAATATTATTAAATAGTTATTTAGTTTGCATATTGCTCAGTGCTTCAGGGATAAGTTTTGCAAGGAGAGAGCCTAGTAAAATAATCAGCATTTGATGGAACTATTTCCCCTATATCACTTATATAGTATAATATTAATACAGTAATTAATTTATATTAATATAGTAATCTTCAGTGTAATCTTTGCTCATTGGTAAACACTAATATTTTTCCCTTTGCACTTTTTTTTGTAATTTGCTAGTATACTCTGGATGGCTAATAAACACATGTGTGTTTTTTAGCCATATGGCAAAAACCGTTAAGTGTCAAAGGAGTGTTAAATATTAAACTTGGAGTCCAATGTTAAACTTTTAAATGAGTTGTGTAGCAAAATACAGATTTTCCTGAAGTAGTGGCTGTTGTCAATGACGATTTTAGTCCTAAAAGTCCCTAATTCCAAATTTTAGTCAAAATCCTTTCCTTGAATATCGAGGTTAATATTTCCCATAAAGTCCCGTCTGACAATGCTTTTGTCCTGGTTTCTGGGATTTTCTCTCTTCAAGCCATATTACAAGGCCACTGACTACTGATCCAGGTAGTGCTGCTACCTTTGGGTGTTTTAGGGAACTACATCCAATCTCGGGGTAATGTAGTACAATCACCGCTGCTCTTTTGTTATTGCGTTCGCTGTTATGGTGCCTCGCCGGGGCTTCGCCACCATTGGCGAGCGCCTGTTGGAATGCCTGCCGCACTGAACATTAGACAGCAGCTCTTATTAACAGGCAGCTCTTATTTGAGAATAGGATTTATATAACCTGCCTTGCAAAAGAATATAATCTGATTTGCCTAATCTTGACCAGTCAGTATGATTGGTCAAAATTGTAACGTCTTGCATATATTTACTGTCTAGTATGTTTGAGGTATTTAAGTATGTTTAAGGTACAAGTGTAAATATATTGGAGAGTGGGTGTGTGGTTAGCGTCTGTCTTCGGTAAGGGATCCATTCTCCGCACATTCACAATACATATCAGTTAGGTCATCTTTTCTTTAGCGTTTTAAGTACTTCCTCCTGTAAAAATCCCCCCCCCCCCCTGCAAACTAAGACAATTTCCATTTACACGGTTGGATTTTCACAATAATAATCCTTTTAACCAGTCAGTTTTACTGATTTAAGTAACACAAGATGTATTGAGTACTTAGGTTTGCTTCTACTAGAAATATAATAAAATTTGCTAAGCATGCTAATATTCATGTTTGGCTTAAATTACCTACATTTGTATGGTCGCCATTTCAGAATAAGGTATATGAATTCTAAATTTGCTAATATTTTAATGTTCTCTGTTCCCATGACGTTATTAAATGATGAAATAGTAGTTTACACAACGATCGGGTATAGATAGTCTTTAAGACAGGAGCAGAAAATAATACTGAAAAGTGAATCTTTTTAATTCTAAGAACTGAATAAAAAAGGCTAGTTTAAAAAATGGTAGTAGGTAAATTTTTTTTCAACTAATCCATAAGGATGACAAATAAATCTTTAGTAAGTAGGCCTATTTTCAATCTATGCTATAACATTGTAAAAGTCCATTTTTAGTGATGCAAGAAAGGCGAGACCAAAAACGGAAGTAATACTCTTGAAGGTTTTAAACTTTTTTATTGTGATAAAACATAAAAACCATTTAAGTCTAATCGTCTCCCTTGAGGTTATCTTTCTTTCCTCCTCTGATTCTTCCTGTCCTTCTGGCAGCGATGAGACCGACCTAAAACACAACAAAGTTATTAGCATTCAATGGTGCCATTAAGCGTTGAAAACTAAAATAGTCATGTCAAAACACTCATTTCTCATAGTATTGAACCTCATCAGGTTTTCAGGTTTCAAATGTCTGTTTGGATGTTGTATAATCATAGAAATGAGCAGACGATGCAAAATTATTAATTAAGCTTAACTGCACGATTGCAGTAAAAGTTTATGGGCCTAAAATTAGAGTATTGCATGATAAGTGTAGATACAGTAGTTTCAATTTTGTTGCCTTATTGGTACATTTTATTAGATAGGCCTAAAGCCTACAATATCAATGAAAAAGGAATAAAGGTTATTTGAGGGAATTATTTACTCAAAACAGGGATTTGTAGACAAAGAGTTGTTTGGAAAAACTATCAACAAGAGCTTATAGTGAAAAATTGATTGCATAGTGAACAGAAGGAGCAGTCAACCATTACGCTATGGTCTACCAGTTAACTTGAACATATTTTGTATTAACCACATTTAACATTCATATTATGTCATTTGCATATGTTATTTGTTATTTTGTTATGTTATTTGTATTTAACATTCGTACTTTTTACGCACAGTAAAAAGGCAATTCTGTTGTTGAAATTCTTATTGTGATTCAAATCTCAACATTTTCAAAGCGATACAAGGTGTCCAGTGAGTCATGAAAACAAAATTCTAAAGGACAAAGGTTCAAAATGTCCAGTTCAATCTTACATAAATGCAAACTGATTTATATTACCTGCTTATACATAAAAAATATTTAAGAACCTAAACTAACCACAATTCAAAAAGAAAACAATTATGTGCATTATTATTATTTAGTATTTGGTCGTGGCTTTAGATTCGCAACAATTACCCGCCATCAATATTGTGAACAAACCCCATAATCGTAACTGTAAGCATCTATGAAGCTTTCAGCAACACAGAAAGTTTCCCACCCTAAAGATTTTCTTTACTACTCGCGACACAATGTTAAGAGAGAACCAAAAGAACACAATTAATGAATGAACACTATCATTGTGTAGTACATTCCAAATTGCCCAGTGCAATGCAAAATTGACGTCCCGGTTTCCCCAGTCAAATCGACATCCGTATATTCTCAGGCAGGGTTATGTATAAATGTTGATACTAATAACAAAACTCTACCCAGGCTGACACTAACCTAAATCCCCGGTATGCAAGACCCCTTTTGAAAATAATGAACCCTGCTTAGAAACACAGAAACCAAAACTCTGGGCTTGTGAGACCCCGCTTTAAAATCCCCTAACGCTGGACTTCTGAGACGGGCATGCTATGAACAACCTGTCAAGGTCACGGCACCCACGAAAAATGAACAAAGAATATATCAACAGATTAGGGAGGAAAAGGGGGGAATGGAATCCCCCAAGGAAACAGTGTTGCCAACAAACGTTTGTGAAAATTCCTGTAGGCCTATCAGACCGGGATTTCGGTAATAGTGTAAATAAGATAATTTATAGAGCAGAAAAAAGTTACCTTTCTTCCGGCGCTGGTGCCTCGCTTGACGGTGGAAGCTTTACCGATGTGCTGGTGGTTACCTCCTCCGTGGGGATGTTCAACGGGGTTCATGGCAACACCTCTAACCTTGGGCCAGCAGTTACGCTTAGCCTTGTACTTGAAGTAGGCTCTGCCAGCCTTCAGTACGGGCTTGTCAATCCTACCACCTCCGGCGACAATGCCTGTCCAAACAGACCAAATTTAGACTACGATTTGATAGAGATAAAATTAGTCTACTTTAAAGCATTTTTTCAGTGGCAAAATATTTTTTCTAGGACTCGTTGAAATAATTCTAAACCTTGCATTAGGAATGCCCAAGAGAATTGATTGGATAGGCCTAACTTTTCTTTGTAGTTAACGTAATTTTCATAGCTTTCATCAGTCTAAAATGTGTTTTAGTTATTAATCTTCAGTTTTAAGTTACAAGTTCAAAATTGTTAACATTGGTTTTAAACATTGTATTTAGTACCCAAATGATAAAAATTATTAACTTGGATTATAAAACAAGTGTATTTAAAAAGTTACAAAAATAAAGCTTGGTGAATATATTTTAGTTAGGCCTAAAAGTTTTTAAACCAGGCATCTCAGACCGCCCTAGATTATCTTCATAGGATTCAGGTTCTAACCATTGTACACAAAGGGTTATCATCATAGATGCCTTGAAAAATGTGTTTATCTAACTGAAAGAATAATTTTTATCAAACAATATTCTTTTAAACCTTTTTTACATAGACTATATTTGAGCTGAGGTTAAAAGAAACTATTAAGAATCTTGTACTTGGCAATTGTTTCATATGATCAGAAGGTGAAAGTTACAGAATAAAGCAAATCTCACTCAATGAGCCAGTTCTATTTTGTAAAAGAAACTCCTCAGTTAATACTCAACAAAGCAATGGGTTGGGACTGTTAATCTTACCTGTAATAAAGTTAAGTTAGCAAGAAAATTGTTTAAACCACTCCCTGACATAATACCATAACAAATGTCAAAGACGAGTAAGACCAAAAATGTAACCTTACATTTGGGCTAATACAAGGGGTAGGCCGCCACATGTTTGGCCAATACTCACCAACCATGGCTCTGTTGTTGGAGGGAATCACTTTCTTGGCTCCAGAAGGCAGTTTTACTCTAGACCTCTTGGTGTCGGGGTTGTGTGCGATAACAGTGGCGTAGTTACCAGATGCTCTCGCCAGCCGACCTCTGTCTCCGGTCTTCTCCTCCAGGTTGCAGACGATGGTACCCTCAGGCATGGAGCCAACAGGCATCACATTGCCGATTTGGAGGTTGGCTGTAAAATAAGAAAAAATGAAAATAATTCCACAGCATAACAGTAAAATACATGCTTGTGATAGAATAATTTTGCATCCTATTATTATTTTAACTGGCAAACCTTTCTAAATTTTAAAACCACATAACTAGGCTATATCCACACATTGACTTGAAATTATAATAACTTTCATACCACTATTCTAAAAACGGACTTTTAAACCTAATTAGAAAATGTAGCCTACATTTTTTTTTAGGATAAAAAATGGTGTGAAACCACTGGTTAGGCCAACACCACATATGAGCTTTTATAAATCAAATTGTAGTTACAAAAAGGCCATCAAAACAGACAACATTCAGAAAGAGCCTCTAGATATATCTTCATAGGTATCAGGTAGGTATAACTAGAATTCATCATAATGTTTGTCTGATAAAAATGATAATAATGGTATTTGATTCAATACTTATGCTAGCCCTACTGTTCACTTATTTTGTTTATTGTTCTTATTTAGTTACTGTAGGCCTAGAGTATTTGCATTTCGTTTCAATTAAGTTGCAAACCACAAAATTTGATGAATTGGAATTCTTGGTTTTTATCAAAACAGGCATCTCAGACCGCCCTAGATTATCTTCACTGAATTCAGGTTCTAACCAAATTGTACACAAAGGGTTATCATCATAGATGCACAAAATACATACAAAGATGTGAGAAGAAAAAGACAAATATAAAAATTTCATGTAAAGAAGATATTAAGGAAAATAATAACATCTATGAAAAAACTACTAAAAAAGATTTGTAATACCAACTTATAAAAATGTACACTAATGAGGTAGGAAGGCACTGTAATTAGCCATACAAAGATACAGTAGAACTCCAATTATACCAATTGTTGATTATCCAAATCACTTACAGAAATAGTTTTAAAAACTTAGGCTAAAATCACAAATAATGCTAACTGTTATGAAAGAAGGCAGAAGCTGTGCTCGCGGCAAACTCCAAAACCTATCCCACACTCGTGTAGACATAATCATCGCTTCCCACGGTCACGGAAACATCATAATCTTTTTCACGATAACGGCAAAATCTTGAACAACTTCTGAGGTATTGTAGACATCATCCTCGTTTCCTGTGGTTATGGAAAATCATTATCGCCCATATCGTGAATTCCGTGATTACAGTAGGCCTTGTATAAACTAGGCTCAACTCGTTCTATTTTCTGTATAGTACCCCAAATATTGGTAAAAATTAAATTTAAAAAATTTGGTGCAATCCCATATCATGATTTGTATAATTGGAGTTCCACTGTAACTTAATACAAAGTTGTCAAAAAATAAGCAAGGGTTAGTAAGAAAATTGTTGTAAAAAATAACAATTAAGAGTGGTCAATGAATTTTTAACTTGCTAGGACTATCAGTTGGCCTTGAGAAACAAGTAGGCCTACCTAGTTGGACAACATTCAGAAAGAGCCTCTAGATAATTCTTCATAGATGTCAGGTAGGTAAACTAGAAATCATCATTATGTTGTCTGGACAATCTCAAGAGTTAAGAGAATTCATCAGGGAAGAGAAAAGTCTTACAGCAATAGACCTCAACATACCTTTCTTTCCACAGTAGAGGAACTGGCCGGTGTACATGCCCTCTGGAGCGATAAACAACTCCTTGCGTGTCTTAAATCTGTACGGGTCTCGGAAGTGCACAACGGCTAGAGGAGCTCCTCTACCAGGGTCATGGATGATGTCCTGTATAGAATATCCAAAATGTTAACTTAAGTTAAATTCTCAGATCTAAATGGTTACATCCAAAGTCTGATCAGTGTACAGGATTTTCTGATGCTGCTGTTAATAGTTTCAAAACTAACAATGCCACACTTTTTAATCCGAAAACACATTGTAAATTCACTAAATCCCTTCCATAGTATAAACGTAACACTACAAGAACTGAAACAAATATTTTGTCAAATGCTGGCGGTCTACCCTGTGAAAGTAGGTTAATGATGTGAACTGATTTCAGCTGGATTGTACTATTTCATACACAATAACAATTTAAAATAATTGATTAATGATTAGTGTCCCATTAGTTGTAATGTGACACCCTTGAGTTTTATGGGTTCGATTCCAGGCACATCCACAAAACATAAATGGGTTTGTACCGCTTTCCCAAAAAGCATTTGTACACTCTCTCCAACTTCTCTTCTAATAAAATTCCACCATTGTAGACACCGATAAAAAGATCAAAACAACATAGTTAGACAACATTCAGAAAGAGCCTCTAGATAATTCTTCACAGGTATCAGGTAGGTAAACTAGAAATCATCATAATGTTGTCAAAGTTGTTTAACCAATCCTTAATAAATATTGTAGCCTATACGGCAATTACGATAAATTGTTAACATTGTTGTCTATATTGAATTGTTGGTTGAAATTGCATGCAGATCTATTGCATTTTGATCAAATCATATTTATTTATTTATTTACAGACGGAAAACTCCATTTTCATAACATACAATCATGGCAAGACATTTCATTCAGACTTACATAGAACAATTCATACATAACATCAAGATGACCTAACTAAAGAACCCTAATAAATAAGAATGTTAAAACGCATATTCATACCGTTAAAAGTTTATCTGCCTATATTCTACTCTAAGAAAAACATCAAGACTAAGTAATTTTTAACAATATTTTGATTAACTCACCCTAACAACACCCTTGATGTAACCATGCCTCTCAGCAAAGTCCAGAGAACGGAGCCTGGGTGCTCCCTTGCGATGTTTAGTGTGAGAGCGGAAAACGCTCCCAGCTCCCTTACGCTGGGCACGAATCACTCGTCCCATCTCTATGACATAACAGATTGCATGGCTTGAATATAAACTTACCGTAAATTAAACTTTCTGTTAACCTCCACTAAAAAAGCTGGCAGAGGATACATGTCCGGTAACCAAACGTGGATTAGGCGTTCGGCAGTTAGGTAGGCCTACAGTCATAACCTAACCTAGGCTAACTAACCAAACTACCTGATAATGAAAAAAATTGAATCAAGGTTAAATTCTGTTCAATAAAATAAAATTATAAATGCCTCAAATTCTAACAAAAGATGTACAGATAAGAAGAAATGGCATTCTAAGCAAAACCTTTGACAAAAAGTTAATGTCACCGATGGGATTCGATCTAGATAAGTTACCTCTTGTACATCAACCAAAATACTCTATCTACAAGACCACTACACCACGGACACCGAAAAGAAATCATAGCGTTGTGGTAATGGTGTTCTGGGCCCCCCCAACCCAGTGACGTCACTGCCGGAAACCTAATCTACGTTTGGTTACCAAAGGGTATCCTCTGCGAAAAAATATAATCATTGCTCTCTTCTATTCAAACACCTCAGAACTCACTGAAAGGCAGAGACAGAATAAGTTAGTAGCCCCGGATACAAAGGTTACCTACTGTAGGGCCTAGGCCTAAGTTACCGTACCATAATTAAAACTAAGTTTATCATATGGCCTACTAAGCCTAGATTGGTTGTATGTTTGCAGACAGTGGTTAGGGCCAAAAGGAGAATATTCTGGAGAGGACTTAAAGTTTTCATTGACATCTGATTAGGAATACACAGGTTGTTGATCAATGATAAGATTATTAGTCAGTCTACTAGGCTATATTGGAAGCTCTCTCCTACAGCTACAATTGGTCTATAACTTAAGTAATGTCCCAAACAGGTACATCTAAATTCTAAATGAAGCTTTGAGAGTATAAATCATAGCCTAAGTTAGGCCTAACATATTAATAGTAAGAAGGATCATAAGTTATGCCTAACATATTAATAGTAAGAAGGATCATAAGTTATAACTTAAAAGTGGAAACATCGACTAACCTCTAAGTTAGATAGGCCTAGAATAGGTGAGAACTGAGAAATGTGCTAAATTATAATGTTGAAAGTTATTTTTGATGATATTTTACGATAACGTCTGCACTCGAGTTCTCTAGGTTAGACCTAGGCCTTGTTTATGATCCACATCTAATCGTGGGCCTATTCTTAACATTGGATAACCCGCAAACTCATAGAAAAGTTTTAACTAAGATACAGAGGATAAAAGCTCAAGTTATGAGACAACTCTGCGCTTTTAGCTCCAATAACTATTTTGGTACCTAAATGTAAGTTATTTGTAACAAACAAGGAAGAGCCAAGAGCCCGAGCGGCGATGGCCACATAACTTAGTATATAACTGAGTTTATTTTTAAAGAGGTCAGTTAACTTAGGGTAGACTTATGTATCCGTTGGCACAAACAACCGAGTGAAAATATCAATGAAACGCCAATTTCTAACACTACACTTAATAAATCAATGTCATAAATCCATACATTTTTTTAAGCCAATAATATCATTCTATATTTAAGAATAACTAAATAAGATATGTATTAGAATATTTTGTTTTCCCACAAGAAGCAAAAATGTAAACAAAACAACTGATCAGCTGTTATAAGTTAGGCCACAAAACTTCACTAACTTTTAAATTAATCATCTAGACTGCCAGTGCAACTCCTAGGATCGTAGGATCGTGGATCAGATCGAAAAACCCCCATCACCGCTCAGTGCCGATGGCGTGACGTCAACCATTACTGCAAGGATACGGAACTGAGTCATGAGCCTTGTGGTGTAGTGGATAGCGTGTCGGGCTGATAATCTGAAAGTGCCGGGTTCGAATCCCACCGGGAGCACTAACTTTTTGTCAACAATTTTTTTCACATCAGCAAGTTTGGTTGGTTTGGTTAGGTTATGACAGTTTAATTATATACCTAATTAAAAGATTGTAAAATTGAATTTGAAACATTTATAATTTTATTTTTAGAACAGAGCTATTTTTCGATTAGTAAACCTTCATTCAAGTTTATCATTATCAGCAAGTTTGGTTAGTTTGGTTAGGTTATGATAGTTTAATTATATTTAAATCAAATTTAATCTACAAATTAAAACAAATTATACGTTTTGACAGTGACAGTGATACAGATAACAATTTTCCGCGAACAGTTAGATAAGCTATGCTGATGCGCCGGTATGATTCGGAAGCGTACGACATGGTGCGGTTGTGGGGGGGGTGATCTACTGATCTGATCCACGATCCTCGGGCTTGGAGTTGCACTGGCAGTCTAGACGTTAGTAACTTTTTATCCTATTTTGGATCACACATGAATAAAATAATTAAGCAAAATAATGCATAAATATTATACCTACCTAATACAAAATACTAAACTAAAACGAAAATTACACTGTCAAATTAGGGATAAAACCCACACTTCGGCTTGTTATCGGACAGAAACTGACGACGACGAAGACGCCATTTTAGGTTAAAAAAGACAAGTGTTCTGTTCCTTTATCTTAGAAAAATCCAAAGCTTCTTTTTGTGTGACTAGTATGACAACATTGAATTCAACTGTCCTTCGTCTATAAGAGCATACATAAAACGTTTGTGTACTTTTCACATTAAGTATAAATGATTTTTTTAAATCGACAATTTTTGTCGATTCGCCACATGAGCAATACATAAAAATTGGCTATTCACAAGAACTGTTCATCAGCTAGCTGTTGGAATGTATTATGACATTATACTTTTTAGAGACTGAAGTTTACTTTACACTTCTAGCAGTGGTACCACTTGTTTTTGTTAGAAATAAAAATTACGTCTGCTATGATTAATTTTGAAATGACTCATCTATTAACCCTCCGAGTGTTAAGCGTCACGTAATCGACGCACAACACACCGGCCGTGGTGTTATGTGTCGCAAAAGCGACACACAAACATTGTTTACGGCGAAGGCTCTGGGACTGACTGAATCAGATTGAACTGGATCGAGATTGGTATCGTTGTTTTCGGCAGATTCTAAGCTTTCTCCTGATGTCTGTTTCTAGACGCTTTTCATTTTAGTTCCGAAAATATTGTAGCAGACAGCTGGCGTGCATATTTGTAAACAACTTGGTTAACCTCGCACCGATGACTGATGCGTTTTATTTCATTCATCATTGTTTTAGTGTTAAAAATAAAAAGTAGTGATATAGGCTACGTGGTGCATTATAAAAAGATTTAAGTGATTTTGAAGGGCTGGTTGATGATCCTGAAGAAGTAGGTAAAGCTTGTGCGTTTCCTGGTGAAGCCTGGGGGGTAGGTGGTTAGAGTGGCTCTGAACCGGTTTTGTAAGGGCTTCAACCCTACCCCCAGGCTTCACGAGGAAACGCACGAGCTCTAGTGATATTGATGTAAATTATCGGCCAGATTCCTAGCTATGGTTAGGCTATACATTCTTAGCTCACACTATATGTACGAAATCTGTTTTTCACCCATAACTTATTTAAGTTATTTGCAAATTTATACTTCCTTAACTTATATTAAGTTATTAAATTTTTGTAATCCTTATAAAATTTAGAACAAAGTGGCTATTTTAAAATATTTGTAGACATAAAACTTAAAAACATTTATTGGGCACAAACATAAATTTTTTCATTTAAATTTTATAATTTTTAAGAAATGTTAACCAAACAAAAATTTTAGAAAATTTTTTTTGTCATGTTTTATATAGCCTAAGTACCTATTACATTGAAGCCCATAATTTTCCAAACAAAATGATATATAAAACAGTATAGGCCTACTTTTGTTTTTAACCCTCCGAGTGTCCATAGTTTAGGCCTTAATGTCCGCCTATTTTTGGCGCATTTGCAAGGTTTTATTAAAACGGATCTGAAAAGCTTAAAACAATTTATGTTAATTCTACTGTTCTATATACCATTTTGTTTGGAAAATCATGGGCTTCAATATTATACATAAAACATAAGGAACATTTGTTTCAAAAAAATTTTTAGGTAAAAAAAATATTTTGGAAAAAATTCAAAAAAAAAATAAGTTTGCGCTCAATGAAATTGTATAAATTATAGTCCTATAAATATTTGAAAATAGCTACTTGTTCTAAATTTTATGAGGATTACAAATATATTAATATAATAATATAAGGAAGTAGATTTGCAAATAAATAAGTTATGGGCAAAAAACAGATTTCAGTACATAGCGTATAGCTAAGAATGCATAGCCTAACCATAGCTAGGAATCTGGCTGATAATTTACATCAATATCACTACCTACTTCTTCAGGATCATCAACCAGCCCTTCAAAATCACTTAAATCTTCTTATAATGCAACACGTATATCACTACTTTTGATTTTTAACACTAAAACAATGATAAACGTAATAAAACACATCAGTCATCGGTCCGAGGGTAACCTAGCTGTTTACAAATACGCACGTCAGCTGTCTGCTACAATTACGATCGGCTCGGAGAACATAAAGCGCTTAGAGAGAGACCTCTGGAGAAAGCATAGAATATAACGAAAAGAACAATACCTAACTCGATCCAGTTCAATCCGATTCAGTCAGTCATAGAGCCTTCGCCGTAAACGATGTTCGTGCGTCGAAAAATCGACGCGTGACACTACACAAAGTGTGTTGCGCGTCGATTTTTGTACGAGTGACGCTCGGAGGGTTAAGTTTCTAAGATAAATTTTAATAAAACCCTACAATTGTGCAGTAAATGGGCAGACATTATTACTTACCATTACTATGGACACTTGGAGGGTTAAGATTGCGCAACGAAACATGGCGTTCGGGAGTTAGCACTTTTACCGCATTATAAGATCGATATAGCCTACTTATGATATAAGGTTCATTTTTATAATAAAATAAAACTTCAGAATCTCATCTTTGCTTTGGTTAAGAGTTGTCATTTCAACGACTAGGCCTACACCTAATAACTGTGGGTAACATGCAAAGGAAGAGAACGTAACACTTATCAACAAATTTTGTTGCCCGCCACTCCAGCAACACATTTTGAAATCGACATTTTCTGTCGATTTGCTACTCCTAGGGTTAAGTTATAACTTAACTTAAGTGTCGGCATAGGCTAGTTGTAACAGGCTATAAATATGCAAGGTAACACTGCATTAGACTAACTTATGTAGGCAACCACAGAATAACCACTGATAGGGTCTCAACCGTGGCCTAGGCCTATCTACAGATAGAGAGGACATTTTTAGAATTAACAAAACTTGACTAGAATAACAATTTCATATCTCCAATAAATCTCATAAGTTATAAATTCTTGTTTACAGCTTGTCTAAGGGAGTCCGAGAAATGTTACTAAGCTAAGTTAAGAAGTTTAAATAACGAGGACTTGACATCTTCAAGACATGGAATTGAGGTTAGGTTGAAGGAATTACAACAGGAGAATGAGTATATAACACTTTTCTAAATTGCTGAGATAAACCAAATCTTTAAATTAGTGTTATATTATAGAACCGTGTATTTTATCCGTAAATTTATGATTAACCGCGATTGAAATAGCTAAAACTAATTCGTTTCTACTTGGAACTTACCTGATTTTGGAGAGAGAAAGGAAAGAAGATATGGCGACGGAAACAAGAAGATCCACGAGCACACCGCAGTTCTGCCAACAGCAAAATAAAGTAAACTAGTTTAATTTTAAAGGTACTATGGTAATTGTATGTTTTGCATGTAAATCACAAAATCATTAAAGAAAGATGTTTACCAATACAAGATTGTTTTAAACTGTTATTAGCTTTTGGTTTCATAGTTGGATACTTATTGTCTAGGAAAATTTACTTAGTAGGTCCAACAGATTAATAATATAGATGAATTATTTCAAAACTTGCTTTTAGAATGATAGAGGGGGACAGCTCACTTAGGTACTCTACAGATCATAGTTTATACGAGCTTTGTAAATAATATTATAAATAGTATATAATAGAAGGTTCATTTGCACCACATCGAAAATATAAAATAAATGAAGAGGGTCCACTTACTCTACAGATCATAGTGACTGTGAGCCACGAGCCTGCGGTAAAATATTAGATGGCTCACTTACACTACAGCTCATTTAGCTACACGTTGCGCGGTTTGCGTTCGTGAAACCATTGACTTTATATCTACAGATATAAAGATGGCAATGGTGAAACTCTAGGCGCTATGTCCGGTTTCGACTGCTGCGACTGCCTACACAAGTGTATTGTTGCATCACCTCAATTATTTATCATTACGAAATAAATATGTAGGCCTACGCACAAGCAAATGTATTACATTTTTGGACTGAATACTTTTAAAAATGGAGGGAGCGTGATTTGGATGTTAAATTTAATGAAACGTTATAGAATAAAACATGTCATTTTGAGTAATATCAGGTTGTTATATAATACAAATAAACACAGATATGATCCAGATAAGACAAACATCATCTGGTAACTATTCATTAAGCATTGTACTGTGAATAATTAAGATTGTTACAAAATGGACAGATAAATTGTTAAAAAATACAAATATACGTATTTGTTGAATCTTTACTTTTACTTGCTACTCACATAGTACATATATGGAGAAATTATTGTTTTCGTCAAATATATTTGAGTTTCAGTTATGAACGTAATAATTTTGTTTTGGGTTCCCCTGGACCCCTGGAAGTGGTTTTCGAAGTGATGTCTGTGTGTGTGTGTGTGTGTGTGTGTGTCATAATAACTTCGGACTAGGCGAACTTTTTCATAACAATTCATATTACGGCAGAACGGTGGTATTATGGTTTACCATAAACGCCTGCAACGATGCGCTGCAATCCTCGTGACGTGTAACTAAATGAACTGTAGTGTAAGTGAGCCGTCTTTATTCCTGAATTAAAAAATAATTCATACGCTTGGCTCATAGGCACTATGATCTGTATAGTAAGTGAACCTTCCTACTGTATTTTTAAATATAAAGGGAGTGAGTATGTTTTATCTATGATATAAGACATGAGGCTCATTTAGGCACTATGATCTGTAGAGTAAGTGAACCTTCAATATTATTTACGTGGCTCGTAATGACTATGATCTGTAGAGTAAATGAGCCATGTGATTTAAGAATTACATATGTATTTGGAAGGGTCGCTGTCAATGCGCCACCACGTCAAACCGCCACCTCTGGAAGCTCATAGTGTCTATGATTTGTAGTGTAAGTGAACCCTGACCCTCTTAAATTACTCACTTAACTTTTAAAATATTTTTCATCTGAAGATTGTGACAGAACTGAACAGATTGTTCCTTACTCCTTAGATCAATCTTATGACTCTACTTTTTTAAATTTTCTGTAATATTTTACTCGTGGCTCATAGTCACTATGATCTGTAGAGTAAGATCATTTATTTTATATTTTCGATGTAGTGCAAGTGAACCTTCTATTATATATACTATTTATAATATTATTTACAAAGCTTGTATAGACTATAATGTGTAGAGTAAGTGAGCTGTCCCCATTAAGGAGGACTTAAACGTCTGCACGCGCTTCTCGTAGCGCTGTTCAATGGTGCAACATAGCTACCGATGAGGCCCGAGTTGAGATTTCTGAGCTGAGGTAGAGCGCACCCTTAAAGGGCTGTACTATCGGCTGTATTTAATTTCATTAAAAAAAAAAAAAAAAAAAAAAAAAAAAAAAAAAAAAAAAAAAAAAAAAAATACTTAAGATATATGAGCTGTTAGTTTGTTTGTTTACTTTAACGCTGACAAGAGTGAGGCCATCTCCTTCACGAGGTCGAGGAGGCAGGACGATGGTCAACACCTCCACCTAGACGGGGCCGACATCCCATGGAAGCGCCGGGTGAAGTACCTCGGCGTCCTGCTGGATCAGCGACTCACCCTGACTCCCCACGTCGAGAGGGTCTGCGACCTCGCCAGGAAAGGTCTTGGCGCCATCCGCCCGCTGCTCAAGTCACGGAAGTTGTCGACGGCTGCAAGAGTCAGACTCTACACGGCCCTGCTTCGGCCTGTCCTCACGTACGCAGCCCCTGCATGGTACCACCTCACCTGCAGAACCGCTAGACGGAGGCTGCTCGTCGTCCAGAGCAAGGCTCTTCGGCAGGCGACAGATTCACCCTGGTACGTGAGGAACTCCGTCATCAGGGACTCCACGGCAGTGACAACTCTCCGAGACTTCGTAGACGGCCTTCGAGCGAGACTTGAAGAGACGGCGGATGACTCTCCGTGGGAACACATCAGGGACCTGGTCGCTGAGGATGTTCCCCAGCTTCGCCCCCGGATCGACGACTAACTCCCAGAACGACGTTGACGTCTACAGGTAGCTGAGCTACCAGGGCTTGGACCCACAGCAGACCGGAAGTATATGCTCCCAGCGAGCAGGCACTTCCCCCAGACGTGGCGCTAGTCGCCACAATCATATGAACTTGGACTTGGACTTGTTTACTTTTCCTTTTGTTCACCTTTTGATTCTACCATAGATGACTGTATTGCATCAAGAGAAGTAACAGAAAGTTTTTCTTATAATGTGGGGTAGTGTTCAAACCTCTGAATTATGTGTCAGTTGTTTATTGGTTCCCTATTATATATATTGCAAACACAGCATTTAAAGTTGCGCAGACAAACGTTGTATAGTACAATTAAGTGACACAAGAACCATAGAGTTGGACCGGAGCCTCATGTGTTCCAACGGTTCCAACTGGCAGGGCCGTACTCAGACCGGTTTTTCCGGACAATTTTACTGAGACGTGGGCCCTGCCAAACATACATCAAGGGAAGGGAAGGGGGGGCTCAGCCTTATATCTTTACTCGCAGGGTTGCCACCTTAGGTTAGAGGAAAATCGGGACATGCCCCCCCTGCCTCCCGATTAACATAGGCTTAAATGCGGGTATAAGGAACCGAAAATCGGGACTGTCCCAGCAGAATCAGGACTGTCCCGGCAGAATCGGGACTGTCCCGGCAGAATCGGGACTGACCCGGCAGAATCGGGACGGGTGGCAACCAGAGCATATTTTAAGGGATTTCCACTGGGCGACAGTGGCGCCGGACTTACCGGGGGGCCTGGGGGGTATTCATACCCCCATCAAAAAGGGGGGTCTGAGGCCCCCCTGGAAATTTTTGCATAAATTTAAGTGAAAATCACACATTTCTACGTATCTTTTAGTGAATTTTTAGACTATAGTTCGGCCGCTTAGAAAACGACCTGCGCGCTAATGCTAAACCAATGCTGGAGGAGGTCGCTTTCTAAGCGGCCGAACTATAGGCTATATTTGCTTGTAAATAGTATCTTGGGCCAAAATCATACATAGCTCAATACTATAAAATATTTGTTATTATATAATATATGTTATTTTAAATTCCTATACATTTAAAATGTGAATCATTGAAAAAAAATATGCCGGCACCACCCATAGTCACTGGGCGACAAAATCTCAGCACTGGGCGACACTTCTGTCGCCCAGTTAACATGTTATTTTATGCCCTGGGCAACCCTGCTTTACTAAGCCCTGCCAAAGCTGGGTACGGCCCTGTCCATATTTGGATCTCTCGTGCCAACCGTTGGTCCGACCTGAAAAAATATGGAGTTCCCAGACCTGCAGACCCCTTGTACACTTGGGGACCAGGAATCAAGAACGGGAAAACAACAGATTTTTTCAGATTGTGGATTAAAACATATCAGTTAAACGATTCACATTATGCCAGTGGCCACAGTAGTAAGTATTCAAATTTTTAAAATACAAAACAACATATAAATTAACAAAGCAAATCTATGTTTTAAAAAGTGTAGAAACAAACATTTTAGATCTAAATTTTAATCATTTTTCTCAAGTACTCAAGTAAGACCAGTGTTTTACTAGGCTTTATTCGGTACCCCAACCTGCTATAGGTCAGATGGACGCCCATGTAAGCTCTAGTGGCCTAATTATCATCTAATTAAGCTAGTTGGGTCTGCCAGGGTGTCCCTAGTACAGGAGTTTATATTCAAACATACACATACATAGTTAGAACTTGATGCGTTATTTGACGACTTTACGTGCTGGGCATGGGCAAAGCATGGTGCATATCAGCCAGTGGTTATATAGACAGTTTTAATACTACCATAGCTCATGTCTTATTTTGTTACTAACCGTTTACTGATTGTAAAATAAATTTAGTTTTCATTTATATTCAGTTATTAAATATGTCCCGGTAAACTACCACACAATTTATCTTATTGTTACAAATACTTTTTTTTTTTAAGTCCGTGGCATTTTGTACACACACATTTACTTTGGATCAAAGTTCAATTTGTGGTGCACATCAAAGTGAACAAAGTTGTAAGGGTGAACACAAAATGCGCAACATTTTTAGTGAATAAAAACGTTAACATTTTGATTTTATAATTTACCTTTAAAAAATATATCCAGCAAGAGATACTCTGCACATGTAATGTTTTATTCAGGGAAAGGTGAAAACAAACTATTAAAATACAAAATTAAATCTGTTTATTCAAAAATACACTTTACACTTCAATACAGTCAGACTTAACTTGTAGACACAGACAAACAGTAAGAGTGACAACGACAAATCAGAAGGTCCTACAACAAATTGCTTTTGGTCTCTTCTCAGCGCGCTTACACTAGAAATTAACTTAATCAAACTGTGATCACAAATTAAAATAATCCACAGCCAGATGATAAACTAAACTACAACTAAAACTAAAACCCTGTGGCCACTACTGTAGTAATACTGAGTCGTTAGTTATGCTAGGTTAGGTTAGGTTAGTTTTGTGCTCTAGGCTTCTTGTACTCTACATGGTGTTTCGAATGTTCCTGCGTCCAGAACACATTAGAAATCATTTTCTCAAGCAGATAGACTTACAGAGTAACGTTACCGGTAAAACAGTATGAATTTTTCAAATTTGAATGCGTTTTCATTTGGTATTAACAACATGTGAGTGGCCAATAAATCTGGGAATAAACTTAGAAAGAGATTAAATGCTTCACAATTAAAATAAATACTTTATTAAATTAATTTAACTATTTACAATTTAATGTAAAAAAAAAATAAACCTTAACGTAATACACATTCTTTTTTTTATTATTTTTACATTTGCGTTACAGAAAGGCTGAATTTTGATTTCTATGCTAATTCATAGCAAAATATTGAAGGCTGTAAGAGATCAATTTTAAGTAACACCTATAGTTTAACATTTTCAATGAATTTAATTTTAAGTTTGTATTAATTTTGCTATTCAATTCATTGCTTTAACCTATTTTCAACAACGTAATCATACTATGATCACGTTTTATTCTTATTGTTCAGTATTTTGCTATACATTACAACTATTTCATTTTACTGGCCAACTATTTCTAGTCATTCATACACACACTTAAAATTTACATCTGGACAAATCTCCACACACATCAGCGTAAGGCAAACTCTTAAGGAAATATACAGTACTTATGTCCTCTATGTACATAAAGTCTATATATTCGCCCTATACTCACTTCTCTTAGACTTACATGAAACTTGTTTAATACTAAAGTAATGTTAAAAATTGTCTTAACCTGATTAAAATTTACATAATAAACATTTTTCAAGACAGGTATTGTACATGTTTGAAAGTTCCTTAAAGTTTTTTCCATCTTTGTATGGTTTTCTGACTCCTTCCCGTAGTGGAGAAAACTTTAAAATAATTAAACTAATAACAATAAGCCCTTGGCCGACAGTATAGTGAATTAAAACAATAACACACAGTTAACAATTCACCTGACAACGCTTTTATCCTTTCCTTTGGATGCTTCGGCAAAAAGTTATTATCTTAAAATTATTTTACCAGGCAAGAGTGTATTATGATTAACATAGTTCTTTAGTTTAAGATTACCATTTTTGGTTTAATATATTTCATACGCTAAAAAACTGTAAATAAATACACTACTAATTTTTTACAATAAATTAATCTATTTTCTACTTTAAATTTTAAAATTAATAAATATTTAAACCTTCCTTACCACTAGAAAACATGGTTGACAACTATTAGCGTCCATTCCTGGTTCATTCGGCTAACAAAATATGTTTTTGTACTTATAATTTTACTAACACAATTATTTTTATACAAATCACTCAGTAAATCATTATTATTATTATATTGAAAACAGACATTTACAGATTGATGATTTTGTACTAGATGAATAAAGATTATTGCTGAACAATTTAGATTTCTGTGCTTTATACACATATTGATAACATTTAAAATTGATTAATAACAATTAAAAAATGTTATATTTTTATAAGTTAAGACATTGATTTTCCTATAAGAAAGTTCATTTTTAAAAGTTCAAATTTAGTATAATGATATTAATACATTTAAACTATATATCCATTCTAACAAAATCACTTCAATAACGGTAATTATTTACAATACATTAATTTAAGCCATACTCAAAATAGAATATAAAGTAACCCATACATAATAACAATTGCATAGCACAAGAATATGTATTAAAGTGTCGCTATAAATCAGCTTTGATTTAATTTTCAAAAGATAAATCCAAAATCTGTCATACTTTTTTAAGATAAATGCTTTGACTTTTCGGGTTAAAATGTGAAGCAAACGAGACACTTAATGATGTTTATGTAATTATAATACTGATCCCTCGACCGAAACCAGAGGGATGATAGGAAATGATGGCAACACGCTGGGACCTGCAAAGTCCACCTTCACTGCTGACTCTACAACAATGTTAATCTGTGATAAATTATCTAAACGTGTTAAACAAATCCAATTAGATCTCGTTCGATCTTTGCAAGCCCCAAAACAATCAACAAATAACATTATTAAAGCTAGATCACCAAATTACTTTAAAGAACTACTCCTCGCCCGACCATCCAGTCTAACTCAAGATCTTCAAAGTAACAAGACAATAAATAGGGATTAAATACTTTAACATAGAAAATATAAAAGTAGACAACATAGATAACGATATACCTAACTTAAATATGTACAATTCGACCTAACATTAACCTATTATTGAGACCATACATAGACTTAGATTCAAATATTTCTTAAATCTTCCGGCTGTTTCATCAAAGCACCAGCAGCGTGGAGGTTATGGTGGGTTATACGGAGGGCACGGTGGGCTTGTCTGCGTAGAGTGGTCCGGTGGGGCTTTCTACTAGGTAGTGCGTGAGTCGCGTAGGTAGACAACCAGCGTTGAGTTGGTAGAACTCCACCAGCTGTAAGAGATCGTAGAACTTGGTGGCTCCGTTGTCCAAAGAATAGAACACACCTCCTCGCACAGGGTCTGACACCTAGAAACAGAGGCACTTGTAAATACACAAGAGAAGGAGCAAAATAGAGGTGGTTTCTGCGTTTGTTGCAATAACTACTGAAAATACTAATCGGATTATTAAAACGGGGCGCTCTGCAGTCTTTAACCATGAATTAAAGACTGCAGCACTTGTTAGTCTTTTTTTAAGCTAAGTTTAGATGAATGATAGGTGTGGCATGTTACTGACTAAAGTCAAGTAATTCTTTAGTTAGGATCTTATATACCCAATTATCTAGTAAACTAAGGTAATCTAGGCTTATTCATCTCCTATAATTCACTAAAGCTATTCCCTATCCTATGTTTCAACGTATAACATTTGACAGTAAATATTGATTTTTCGTCTTTACAACTTGATCTACTTTACAAAGTTATTAATGTTATCCAGCCAAGTAGCTGAATAAAAAAATAAGAAAAACTTAGATGTGGAATGGTGTTCTGGTTCTACAGTAAATGGTGGATGTGTACATAAATACAAGTACAACATTCTTTGCTTCCACATCCTCCCTCTGTTGCAAAGCACGAGTACTGACTCCAATTTAAAATTCCTGTTCAATTAAGCCAAAAATGCCTGTAGAGAGCTAACTTAGCTTTTGCACAGATAAGTTAAGTACAGAGGAAACATGCTTATGGAACGACCGTGCGCTTTCACCTCTAGTATGTTGTGCATGCGCATACGTACACGCTAGGGCAATATACTTGTGACGAGCAAGAAAGAGCCCGAGCGGCAAGCACTGTCCGGAAGTTCCTATCCCACAATGCACAGGATGTTCCTCCAGCATGAGCGTAGTCGTTCTTGATGGCGAGGAGAGTTGGGAGAACAACGAAGTAGGACACCAGCGACTAGTGCTAGCCACCAGAGACTTTTGCTAGTCACCAGCGACTAGTGCTAGACACCAGCAACTAGTGCTAGACACCACTTAAGTGCACCATTGAAGGATTCCTCTGTACCTTACTTTTCTGTTGCTTTTGTCTTAAATACCGTTGACTATTTCATCAAACTACTGTTAGTAATGCTTTAGACAGTGGTTTACTTAAAGGACAACTCACAATGAAAATAACTTCTTGAACAAAAGAATAGTTACTTACAGGAACTATAATCATGTGAAACACTTTTCCTCCACACTTGAATGTGAGAACAAACTGGCCAGCCGTTGTTCTGCTATCTCTTACTAGGAACACACTGGAACAAACACAAAAAATTATTACTATCTTGATTTCTTTACCAAGCTACGTTTTGGAAAAGATGACAATATGTGACAACTAAGTAGATTTTAATTCACAAAAAGCTGTGTTAACTTTTGGCGCAAATTATACGTATAAAAATGTATGGGAAAAACATATTGGTGGGGAAATGCTTACTTACTGTGCGATACAGCTGCAGCAACATTTCACAAATTTTCAGATCATATAGTTTCGATCAAGATTTATTTTGTTTGCTCAAAATGTTTTGAAATATAACAAGAAAGGACCCCCGGTTAAATAGTTTTTTACAAAAAAATATAATAAAGTTTTAGATAGTAAAATAACAAGTCCAGGGTTTGGGCAGTTCTTAAAAAATGCCAATGTAGTGGATATATACAAAATAAAACAAACATAGTAACAAAAACTTTTTGACACAAACAAAGCATTTTACAAATTAAATTAGGGAATTTTACAAGAAATATCAGATTGTATGGTAACTATGTGTAGTTCAGTCCAGCCGATTCTTGGATTGAAATGGAAGATTTAGGTTAAATAACATTTTGTAAAGTTGGTGTATTTGTTTTAACACATTTCAATGTTTTTAATCTCAAGAACAATGTACTAATATCTAAATTGGTCATAAATGTTAATTTCTAATTTTTGTATGACGGAGTGTAAGCTGCCTTAGTTTAGCAGTCTTCATTATACATTGTTTCATTCACATATCGGATGTCTGACTCACCCGTCCACTGTGCCGTGTTTATTGACCAGTTGGGTGGCTTGGTCCCGCGTCATGCCGGAGTGGAACCACGGCTGTGTGATGTGTACCCCAGACTCTATGCCTTGCGTGACGCCCATCTTGCTGATGTTCCGCAACTTCTTCTTCCACGTGTTGCCCTCGGCCAGTGCGATCGCACGTGCCTCCTTAGGGTCATCTACGATGCGGCCGGTCGAGCCTGTGAAGTCCATGGCCACTCGCGACCGCACACTTTCCTGCAACAAGGTAGGTTGGGTTAGTTTAAAACAAAGTGAGGTGAATTTAACAGAAAACCTTGAAACATATTCTTAAACCATGAAAAAAAAATATATTTAACATTTGGTCAGTTGATGTAATATGTGGTAAAGTAATAGGATAAAAGCTAAATTTATACCATATTGTGTAATCAAACTTGTTGTTAAACCCTTACAGGGTCGTTTGGCCAGTTGCACTGATATTGTGTAAAAACCCTTGGAATTGCTTCAACATCAGCTCTTGTTTCCTACCAGCTAAGTTAAACTTTGGGGCAGAAATTGCTTACTGGAAATAACCATCCAGCAGGCATTACATCTTATGTTTTCTACATTTTTCCTATATTTTGCCAGTGCAGATGGCCTCCTAAGAGTTGGATTGGTTTTTATGTAGGCCAGTATAGATTGTGTCAATCGAAATGTCAAGGATAGGACATGGGATGAGAAAAAGGTTATGAAATAAAAATAAAATTCCAATCAGAATACAAGAGCTCTTTTAGTCCTCAGGTAGGCCTATTTACTTTTCTTAAGATACAGGTTATTATGATAAAAGAGTGTATACAGTTTGAAAGGAAAATCACATTTCAAATAGTGATGATGTCAGGCAAGAGTTCCAGCAGGGAATGATTGTTTAGTAACTACACTGTTTCAATTACTAAATTCAACTTAACTGATAGACTGATAGAAATTATTACCAAAAACTACCTTCATACATGTTTTACTTCACATGTTTCATGTTGTAGATATGACATTGAGTGGTGCAATATTTTAAACTCAAACCCGGGAGTCTAAAAGTCAATTGCGAGTTTAGGAGTCTATTTGTGAATTCTTTTAGAAGCTAGAAATAGTGGCTGACTGACAGATGCTGCATTTGGCAACTAGCCTGCAGTCACGATGCATCTGGCTGCACAAAGCATAACCTCCATCTCATTGTACTAATAACCAATGGAAACCAACTATGGAACTACCTTTGGTAAAAATAATCAAATATTTTGTTCCTAGTTTGATCAACCATTCAATAAGATTTAAATTAATGTTTTGGGTTAAATTATGGTTTGCAGAAAAGTATAGTGGATCCTTATATCAGCTGAGGACATGAATTCTGAGGTGATAAGGTGAAAATATGGCTTAACATAATAGAAAATTAAATGGCCACATGTGCAACCATTAGAGAAGAGAAAACTAAACAACCTCCACAATTTAATACAACACTGACAAACGTACACTGAAAGATACACTGAACTTGTGAAATTAATATGAAACATAAATACGCAAGTGAAACATAAACAGTTTGTTGCGCCTGATGAAGCAGCAGCAAAAGTTAAAATTCCCGGAAATCCAGATAAGATGGTTTCTAAACACAGATGGGGAAGTTCTAGTTTTATGCAGAGTTCTACTGATGAATTACTAAAAATGGTGTAATAATTTTAAATTAAAAAGTTAAGAGTTTAATTTTAGAATATAATTAATAAATTAGAAGTATCTTTACTTCTTCAAAAGACTTTACAACAGAACCGAGATTAAAGTGCATATCATAAGCGAGAATAATCATTTAAACCATGGAAACTTTTATCTGACAAAAGAATGAATAATATTGCCATTAGAACTTCTTTGAAAGCACATTAAAATAATGACAAATTCTGCTACAAGTTGAGTTAATAAATATGGAAAAGTTGATGCATAACTTCTGCTACTGGCACTGCATCAACTTTTGCAGTTTGACTTTCAAAGACGGTTGGCGTTCATCTAGTTCCGTAATTTATAGCCCAGTTTACAAGTTTCTAGTTTTCGCTATATTTAATTTTGTATTCTTTTTTACCTAAATCTGTATCACAACACTTTTTACTTTTTTCCATTACGGTAGCTTTTCTTCAGTTTATTTTTAGTGAAATTGTAATACTGTATATAATTTACTTTGAAGTAAAACCTTTTATTACATGCTTGAATTTTTTCAGTTATTTTGTAAACTAACACATTTGTTATAACTCTAGTACATAACAACTCATTTTCATGATAATGATGCTTTTTAATGATGGATCTGCATGGCACCGTTAAATAAATGCATTCTATCCAACCCTATTATCCAAAAAATTGTAACCTCCAAATCAGTCATCTATTTCCAAGCACCGGCTCATCGGTTGGCAATGTTAGAAAGGAACCACTTGCCAAAAAGTGTACAAGGGCAAGGTCATTTGCAAAAATGCAGCAAACAATGTAACACAGACGGCTGCCAAATGCAAAAACGGGCGTTAATCTACGCTGCCAGCCATCAGAAATATTGCTGTATTTTTGGCAGCTAATGGTCAGATTGCGAAACAAGCCAGATTTTACTGACACTGACGCATGGTGGAGATGAAAACCAAACCTTTATTTTTGGAAAAGATATTGGGAAACATTCGAATGGTGGGTGGATTCTGCCAAAACTAAATGTGTTTGCAGCTGAAATTGTGGGGAAAACTTGTGAAACAGTGAAATATACGGTCGACCGATTTAAAGTTACTCTCTCCAAGTTATATCCAATAGAATTATAATAGATTTATAACACATATTAATACTGCCGATGAAGCAACAAATGCTTTGTAGTGGCAACACGCCACCTCTTGCAACATTGTTTAAACAATCATTGCTTTATTTCCGTCTGGATTGAATCCACCGCACGTGTTCTGGACAATATCTCCTGATCCATTAACGGTTACATGAGTGATTTTTATTTTGGTTAAACGTTCACCTTCCCTATAATACTACACCATCCTTTTACCTACTTTTCTTTAGATTTGTAAGATCTGTATGAGGGATTTACGTATTTTGTATCTATTATTAAATAATAAGATAGCTTGAACGTTTTATCTCAACGTTTTTTGTACTTCCTATTTACACACATAACTTTTTAACATGTACAAATTGAATGAACAGTTTATCACAAAGCAAATTTGAATGTTACAATTTCAATGTAAAAAAATTGGACTACCACAGGGGTGTCATCTAGGATCCACAATCTTTCCTAGATCAATAGGAGGGAAACTGGTGAAAGCTGAGGGGAAAGTTGTGGAAATGGGAGGATGCAGATAGATAACCACAATACACCAGAACTTTCTCTTGGCACCAGAATCCTCTTTGGATCACTCCCTTTTGTATGAATAAATGTTTACCCTAATCAGAACTAAACCGAAAAAAATATTTGTGCTTTTGTTCAACCTTCACTGTGTCTGAATTGTTAACGAACCGAGGTGGTTAAAAATTGGAATCTAAAGGCATGTAGAATCCTTATTCAAGTTAGAAGTTAGACTTACATTAGGAACAGTGTAGCTGCTGTAGTCCCGGGGATTCAGAGTCTCCATCTGTTGCTTGTTCTTGAAAGCACGGTAGTTTTCCCGTAATTGCTTTCCATACTGAAAAATTAAAACAAACACTTGTATTATCTGAATATAATTAATTTATAAACATATCCTAAATTTATTCAGCTACACTTACTTACTGCCATCTGTTTATAGCTTTACAAAACATACTTTTTTTTTTAATACATGAATTGAATTACATAAACAATGGATTCTTTGTGCTACGGCACCTACATTGTGTATTAGTACAATATAGGCTATATACGTGCATTATCTGAGCCTATTGACAGAGGCAAGCCAAATATTGACAGCTGCATTCGCTTTCTCTATTGTACTGTCCTATCTCGCCATCTTATTCCAATATGTACAAGCTGATAGAGCAACTACACCACATATTGTCCATCATTACCCGATTGGTTTTAGAACATATACACGGTTTTAGAACATATAAACGTCTAAAGAGAGTTTAGTATGAAATATCAACAGTGACATTTGTTTTAGATTTACACGCAAGAGATTAATAATGCAAAAGAAAAAGCTGTAGTTAAAAAAAATGTAGAGAAAAGGTTATAAATCAGTATTAACTCCTCAAGACTCACCTTAATTAATAAAATTAAATAATTAATAAAAATTTAAATAACATATGCTTTTTAATTCTCAGTGGTTATATTTATGTGGCTTTTAAGCTTCTTAAGTCCTAGTATAACTAAGGTAAAATGACGGATGAAGACAACCACATTTTTCTTAGGTGTATAACACATTGCTGTCTTCTTTAGCAAAGTTTTTAAGTGTTGACTGATTTTCACACATGTACATAACGTTGTACCTAAGTTTTTTAAAATAGAGCACTACTTACTTTGGCGAGCCGCATTGCTATGAGCCAGCACGTTCGCGCACGCTCGTTCTCGCAGGCAAGACAGCGTAGATCTGCAGGGTCGTCGGAGCCTGGCGCGCGCAGACAGATGCCGAACTCCGTTGGAGCTCTCAGGTGGTTCTTGGCGTTGATGGTGGTGTAGACGTTGTAGTCACTCAGGCGAGCAAACAGCTGCAGGTTTCCTCGCTCACCATCGTCTGGTATCTGAAAAAAAAAAATTTGTTAAAATAGTTCATGTTAGGAAAGCTTTTTCAGCAATAAAGGGACTCCAGAGCTTGGATTCGATTCTATTCACCGCTGACACATATTAGGGTGTACATATTTTAATGGGAAGATAAGTTAATAGTGAGTGTTAAATCAATGAGATGATAGCTTTAATTGATACTGACTAAAACAGCTGCTTCTGTAGCCAGGTTCATTTATTAAACGGCCAATGATCAAGGATAGCTAAGTCCAGTTTCAAGCGCATAGATAGATCTAGATTATTTTCAAGATCAAACCGGCGAATTAATGATTGCCACACAAGCTATATATTCCACTCAAGCTACCTTAGCTCAAGAAAATAATCCTCGTTATGATATTTTTTTTATAGTCTGGGGCAGAAATTCAGCGATTTCCATGTAAAAAGTATATATAAGGTTACAAAATTGAAAAACTATCATTTCCACTTTTTTAAAACTAAATAGTACAGTAATTACGACAGTGATTAATGTAGTTTGTACAACCAGCCAAAAATAATCTATAGGTCGGCCGCTTAGAAAACGACCTCCTCCAGCATTGGTTTAGCATTAGCGCGCAGGTCGTTTTCTAAGCGGCCGACCTACAGCAGTGCAATTTTGTGGATTTGAAAAAAAATCTTCGCTCCAACCTTATCATTAGATTTGATTCCTTAACATACATGGTGAACAATCTAATGGTTTAGATCAGCTGACAGACCAATGTCAAAATCCTATCTCTTGATCAAAGACCTTCAGATAACAAAGCTAACCACTCTGCTATCCAGTATGTTGACAGTCTTGACACCAGGTGTGGACCATTACCATAACTATAACCTCTTGACCTCCAGCCTCCTACACAAATGAGAGCCCTCTACATGCAGTGGGCGTGACCTGTCCCGGATTACGGATGGATGGTATAAAAACGCATCGTTCCACAGCAACTGCCCATTCTAGCTGCTGTACAATCTTAGCGTGGGGGTTTAGTTATTCTCAACTTGACTATTCAATTTTATGGACCTTTGCAATGTGTTCTGTTCTGAGAACTTTTCTCGTGGTTACAATAGCTGTTGTTGTAATATCAAATGATTTATTGTGATAGGGCTGCTACAGTATTTGTGGTGCAGAAGGTTTTAAGCTATACTCTGAATGACGGAACCTGTCTCCTGGCTCCGTTAAGGTGGCTTCCAGATGGAGGAAGGCTCAGGAGACGTTTCATCATGCAGACTTTAGATCTGACGTAAATTAAATTGAAAAGTTTTTGTGAAATTTTGGAACTATTGAAATAAAAAAATTTAAATATTTTTGACATGTTAAACCTCTACTTTTTACTCATCAAATTAATTTTACTGCCTATACGTTGAATTTTAATTTTTCACATTTTCAACAAGATTTTGGGTACATTGAACTATAAACCCCTCTATTTTACTTGTTCAACTATGCAAACCACACACAACATGTGTCCCACTTATAACTGAAACTATAGTCTACATAAACCCGTGTAGTTATTATGTTTCAGTTTACAAGGGACCATAATGTAGATAGATTACCGTGTATGGGCGAGCCATTAGCTTAACACATGCAAGCCACTAGATGACCGGCTATGATAGTGAAGTAATTTACAGCAGTTGTGCATGAAAACTACACATGCACTTTCAGCCCCTCTAATTGAAAAGTTTGAGTCAGGAACGTTTCAAGACTTCTGTTTTCTGGTGGCATCACCGTGTGCTCCCGCTATCTCCACGTTCCGCTATCTCCGAACCCAAATCTGTCCCGCCACCTCCGAATTCTTGAGTGACCCTTATAATCCCGTCACTGCCTTCGTTGTTAACTGTCATTGCATCCACGGCTGCGAAGTCCCGTGGATGGGAGATTTAATCAAAATTTAGCCCGTGGGTTAGGTTAGGTTAGGTCATGTTAGGTTAGGACGGAAAGTCTTAACGCAGGTAGTTACCGAGGATTATAGGGGTCACTCTGAAATTCGGAGGTGGGGGGACACGGAGGTGGCGGGACGCGGAGATAGCGGGAGGTAACCGGCATCACTACCATTGTGGCTCTATCAGGACTATCTTAGATTTCCAAAAAACTAAATCAAAAGTTAAAAATTTACCTCATGGTTTTATCATACGTTGGGTCAGCTGAAGAACTTTACTATTGAATATATGCCTATTTCTTCAAACACTGAGCTAGCTGATACAAGTGAATGAGGGCACTGAATGAAGGAATTGCGAAGTTGCCATTTGTACTAAGTACATAGGAACCAGGGAATATTGGGATTGTAATTGTCATAAGCCAATGAGCTGGTTGATTCACCTAGATGGTACCAACATAAAAACATTTTTACGTTTCGATGCATAGAAGATTTACAGCGTGCTACCTCCAGTTGTATTTCTAATTCACAGAGTACAATAAGAGTTTGCTTTGTTTAATATTGTTGCATGTAATTGACTTTCTTTAAAACTATTTGTAACCATTGATTACACCGGTGAAGAAAAGCATCAGTTAGCACCGGTATGAGAATTGTAATTTAGTTGTCTGTTATGGTTAGAAAGTCATAATAAAGTGATTTTTAAAATTAGTTGTGAAAAAGATAAAATATTGAATAGCCTGTTGTATATCAAAAACTTAAAACATTCAATATTTTGAGTTCAGAAAATTTTTCAAATGGACTCAAAACTGAAAACACGGGGTAGAGTCATTCTTTTCAGCGTATGATAATGTTTTACAAATTTCAGTAGCAAGACTCCCGAGCCTCGGCTTAACATTCGAGTCACAAAACGAGAAACTAACCCCAAGCGCCGTCGGTAATCCCTGTACTTTACTGTTGCCATTAAATTTTATCGCCCATTAGACGTCCGTTGGCCATTACTGGCGTCACGAGAGTCAAAACTGATTAAGCAGCCAAAAATTATGCCCGGAGCCCATCAGTTGAGCTGCGGTCGGGGCAGCGCCGCAATCTGGGGTTAATGGTGCCATAAAAACCCCAATCACAGCTTCGGCCGTCTTGTGTCAGACAAAACAACTACATTTTGTGTATGTTTTTTTAGACAAAAATCTCACTTTATGGGGGAAATCCATGCCTAAGCAACTGTAGAGACAGCTAAAATCATAGCAAAACTTTCTGTGTGGTAACTTTAACACGTACAAGGCGACTAAAAAGACCTCATGATGAATCACTGCTGAACACAATGAAGTAGGAATAATAAGTCAACAAAATAACTGGATGCCCCCAAAAAATCTACATTCTAAATGAATGCGTTATTGTGAAGTACAAAAATGTTAAGGAAATAGCTATGAAGAACTTGGAGTTTACATATACAGTAACAGATTTCAAAATGCAATTTCCAATGCAAGTAGTTTTTCCAAAGCCAAAGTGTACAACATACCGTGTTTATTTGACGAACATTCTGCAGCTAGCTGTATTCCACGGAAACTTTGAAACTTTCAGTCTCCAGTCTAAGTTATATAAATCGCGCCAGCTAGACATATTACACGATTACATTCATCACGGCTTGGCTACGCGTCGACGAATAATTTAAACCTTTTGTCAGGACGAAATGCGTTTGGCTTTCGACCAACGAAACGAATTATTACGCTGGAACTGTTACTTTCGAATGAGAAATAGCTGAAAATATGGAAATACCTAGCTGCAAACTGTGTTTACCAACAGTTTTATTTCTGTGCGTTTGTTTATATGAACGTCCGGTTTTACGGTGTTCTACGGTTGTATTATCGTCGTGGTTATTACAGGCGTTATGCACTAGGTCATTCGTCCTGTTTTATGACTACCAAAGTCGAGTTTGCTTTTATACGGTGACACTGACATAATGTGTTCCCCCTTTGCAAACTATTTAGGGAGCCAAATAAGTGCGCATTTTAACCCAAATATGAGCGAAGGATGAGTGTAGAATATAATGAAGTGAGATGATCTGGATCTGTGTAGCTTTGTTACTGACTACGATCAGCTGTTTCATCAGTCAGGATAATTTTTTTATATCCCAATGATCAGGGACAGCTGGGTCCAGTTTGAAACCATAAAAAGCAGACCTTTCAAACTTTTTCAGGACCAATCTTGAAACCCTTTTAATTGTTAGGAGAGTGTAACCACAGCTACCTAGCCAGTCACGAATCAAAATGAGAGATCACGTAGAATACTGTATAAAAATCATTACCAAGTAGAATTTAGTAAATATATTAATTCAAAAATCATACTTAAAAGTAAAGTTCATTAAATTAATAGAAATCAGGGGTTAAAACAAATGACACAATTAGCTTATGTCAATCCGAAACAAGTTTCGATCTTGCCGGAAACTATAAACTGCATAGTGCAAGCGGACGGCGGACCAGTTGTAGCGAATGGAAAGTAGCCGGTGATCGCTGTGACCTGGAAACTCGGGCGAAATTGAACTTTTTCAGGGAGGGGAACCCATAACTAACAAATTACGAAGTGGATGCGGGCACAGAACTGGTTGTGGCCGTGATGGCTAATCGCGAACCGGTTCCCCCTCCCCACCCCTGTACTGGTCAGGTGATTCCTTCTTTGTTACCCCCTCCACTGCTGTGACCTCGCTGCGGCGCTACTCTACTACGCTGCCACTAGGTCGCCCAGCCAACTATCGTGCTTTCGAATCAAAACTATCGTATCAAATGTAAAAAAATAAAGTACTTATTTGTAAATTATCGTATAAAATGCGAATATCGTAGTTTGTGTCGAATTACTGTACTAAAATAGAGTGCAATGATACTGTACTCATCGATGTATAATAACTCTTATACAGTAATACATTAGGGAGTTACTTTATACATCGATGACTGTACTAAGCTGTCACTATAGTCCGTCCGTTTGGCTATGATACCACAGAAAACGTACTATACGTTTTCTGTGATGATACCCAGCGGATTTTCCAAGAAGGTTCCTAATCCGCTGGGTATAATAGCCAAACGGACGGACTATAGGTCGTACAACATTGTACCATAGATGAAGTAGGA